TTACAACTTACAAGGGTATCCGCCCTGTTTTTTTTTGCGAGTTACATGGAAGAAGCTTTTTGACTTGAAAAATTAGTGCACCGCGCGAGTCCCGGTAGTATCTGCTTTAGGGCGATCGAAAGTTTGACTAAAGGTAGAGAGTGTGTGGGCACACAGTTTTAAGGCGTGTGTGATCTATTTCTATTGATGTTACGGATCCGGCACTCTCGCGGGACAACTTTTTCGTTTCGACTAAATTAGGATTGAGTGATATTTTCCTTTGGTTAGTGCATTTGCCCAGATGCGCATGCTCTCGTTTGGAGGTCGGCTTTGTGGAGGTGCGGCCTTCGCATGGTAGGAGTGACTGGTGGAACAAAAACACGGACCTGGCCTCCGCGCGGTAGGTGCGGGAGCTTGGCGGGCATGGGTTCAACCGAGAGGCGAAGGGGAGGCCTTGGTGTGTTTCGATAAGCCACGCGCCGAACAATACCTGTTTATATGGGTTTGCGTGGCTGTTGATATCAGCCTTGGGCCTAACACTACTGGTTACAGTGTTGGACTTTCATCCGGGAGATTCATGGATCGAGAACAGGAGGCGATGACGCAGGAGTACTGAAGCAGTATGAAGAGGCCAAGGGGTTGAGGGCTCGGTAGGGCTATCCCCCTTGGTTTTGCTATCGGCCGCACCCACAGGTCCAATAGGTGGGACCAAGGGGGTGTCAGAGGTTCCTCCCCCTCCTCCCTTTCTTATTTTTATTTAATTGTATTTTATTTTACTCCTTTTTTTGGCCTTTTTATTCTTGTCCTGTTTTTTTTCAGGAACAGGACTGAGATCAACCGGTCTCAGCTCAGTTGGTACACCCGTAAAACTATTGAAATACAGACCTAAGTTTTAAAAAAACAGTTGAGCGCCTTTGGCAGCAGATGAGCAACATGTGGAAGATCTATAATATTTGGGGCGGACAGGTTCCACGGAGGCACTATGGGACATGCCTTCAGCTGTGTCCTTCGGGACATCCATTAAAATTGGGACGGCACAGAGAAAATTAACAGGAACCTTGTGTATGGTCCAGCGTTGAGTCGAGGGACGAACAACTTAATAATAAGTGTATCGTCTGCTGCCCATGACCTGCTGTGAGAGGTTTGAGTGTGAGCATGCCCCTCCAGGCCCGACAGATCGTGAACTATGCCCCAGTTTAAAAAAAAAATTTGAGTGCCTTTGCCAGCAAACGAGTAACATGTGGAAGATCTACAATATTTGGGGCGGACAGGTTCCATGGAGGCACTATGGGGCATGCCTTCAGTTGTGTCCTTCAGGACATCCGGGATGGTACAGAGAAAATTAACAGGAACCCTGTGTATGGTCATGCATTGGGTCGAGGGACGAACAACTATCGTTTGTTGCCCACGACCTGTTGTGAGAGGTTTGAGTGTGAGCATGCCCGTCGAGACCTGACAAATCGTGAACTATGCCCGAGTAGGGCAAGGCCAAGAGGACTCGGGAGGAGGTCATAGCGATCTTAGCATGCAATCGTTCACCGGACTAGGTAAAGGGGCGAAAGACAAATTTAACAGCCTGGTATCGGGTTCCTTTCGAAGCTTCCCGCAGGATAGCTGGAGTTGCTGACCGGTTAGTGCACAACACTGGTCGGGCTACGCTAACAAAAAAAAGAAGGAAATGAATCTAGCGCGGATCCCCGATGTTCAAGGAAGAAGATGGTGGAAAACGAGCTGGGCGCAACTGAAGATGCACGGCTTGCTCGGTTCTTAGCGGAATCTCGCGAGTGAAAAGGCAATTTTGGGATTCTTGGATTAGATGAGTAGGATGGTACGGTTAGTTTTAGTGTTGGATTAGTAGAATACCTCTTAGTTGAAAAAGAGAGGGCGCAGAGGTGTCGAGGAGAAGGCTATGGAGTAAGTGGGAGGCGAAGATCTTACTTCATTCCTTATGGAATCGAGCACAGAAAGAGGCTAACCCGAGGTTCTAGGCCATTCCGAACACAATGGCGCCGGTAGATTTCGGTTGGGGGCATAACTCTGGTGGTATAGTGATTCTGAGCTGCACGAGGGAGT